GGGACTGAAGTGCTCAACAGAACAACACGCTCAGCATCACTATGCTCAAGAAAAATTCTGAGACATAAAAACCACAGAACAGTTTAAAATTTTTTCATGTAATATAAAAATAAATGTAAAAGCAAAGCTCTACTGGCAGTTCACTTGAGGGCAACCTGAAGTTAGACAGAACCTTGTGTTCTCTTTTCTGCTGCCATCCTGACACCCCCTTTGTCAGGGCCAGGAGTAAGAGTAGTGACTCTTTTCTGTAATTCCCGAGGCAATGAGCACACCTTCAATAACACAGCTCAACATAACTCTGCTGTTCTCCGAATCATTCCTGTTATAACTTCTACGCAAACACCAACAAAAGATACAAATTAGGGTCTCCCTGGTGGCGCAGGCAGTTGACTGCAGCGCTATGAAGCTGTCCGCAGCCTCTGCAGCGCGAGTTCCATCCTGGCTGGCCAGCGAGGGTCCCACATGGCGCGGCAGACTTCTCCTGTCTCGCCTGCTGCTCCCCTCAGCAGTGTACTTCATCAGTCTGCCTGTTCTGTTCCCCGCTCTGTCTCTGTGAATCCTCTCACCCTCCCGTGCATCTGGCTTGTACCCTGGTTCTTGTATAAATAAAATAAATCTTTAAAAAAAAAAATACAAATTAACCAAAATCACTTATATGTGAAATCTTTTCAAAGATCAAAATTTGTTAATATTTTCAATCCAAAAATATTGTCTGAAAATATTTAAGCAATGATTAATTAATGAAGCTTATGTTGGATTTCTTAAAAGGGCCAAATAAGCTTACTAAAATTTACTTAAAAAGAACAATGACTTGGGCAGAAACTTTTATTTTCTCCAACCTTAAATAAATCCACCTTTTTATAATTAGCATTTGTAAAGAATAATGCATAAACCCATACAGTTTTAAAACAATATTAGAAAAGGTCAAAAAACTGCAGCTTACTTTTATAGAACAATTATGCATTGCCATTACGCTAACCATACTCTGTGAAATATTTCATGTAATTTCCCAATAACTATATGGGAATTTAATGACGTTCCAATTTAATAGACAAGGCAGCGGAGACTGTAAAAAGTCAAAAATGGGATTCACATTCACAAGTCAGTTTTCAAACACCCTGAATTCTGTCTCCCAACATCCTTGGTACTTCAAGTACCAAGTAAAATGTCTGGTTTTTAAGCCTTTGTTCATGGCATCATAATCAGAAAGGCATAATAATGTGCAGTTCAATTAAAAAAAATACCCTGATACGGCATCCATGTTGTAATTAACACATTTAGTGAAATGGACAAGAAGAAGGGATGCTTGCATGAGGTGCAAAATCAATTTGCAAGTTCAGAAAAAGAAGTCAAGAAAACAATCTCAAACACAATTACAACAAAAAGAATTAAATACCTAGGAGTAAACTTAGCAAAGGAAGTAAAGGACTTAAACAATGAAATCTTTTATTATTGTTAAAAGAAAGATACACCCCAAAATGGAAAGATACCCCTGCTCATGTACTGGAAGAATTAACATTGTTAAAGTGGCCATCCTATCCAGTGATATATAAATTCAGTACAATCCCTACCAAGGCTCTAATGGCATTCTTCAGATAAACAGAACAAACATTACTGAATTCATTTGGAACCATGAGTCGGAATAGCCAAAACAACCGTGACAGAAGAGAGAGGTGGTATCACACTCCAGATTTCAAAACCTACCACAAAGCTATAGTAATCAAAAGGGAATGGTACTGGACCAACAACAGACACACAGATCAACAGAATGAAATGAAGAGTCCAGAAATGAACCTGCACACCTATGGACAGTCAGTCTCTGACAAAGGATCCAAGAGCACACAGTGGGCAAAGTCTCTTTTACAAATGGTACTGGGAAAACAGGAGAGTTGCATGAAAAAGAACAAAACAATTATCACTATCTCATACCTGATACAAAAATTCAAGAGATTGAAAATGTGGATAGAAGACCCAAAACAATGAACTACATTGAAGAAGAAATAGGCAAAAAACACACCAAGACATTGACTTTAAAGATGTCTTGAGGATTTTCGGCCTCCCTGGTGGCGCAAGGAGTTAAGATGCAATCTATGAAGCTATCTGCAGCCACCACAGCACAAGTTTGATCCCCGTCCAGCCAGGGAACAACCCACAGGGCGCAGCAGACCTCTCCTGACTCGGCCGCTGCTCCTCTCAGCAGTATATTTCAGACAGTCTGCCTGTTCTGCTCCCCACTCTGTCTCTGGTGAATCCTCTCACCCCCGACACCTCTGGCCTGTACCCTGGTTCTTGTATGCATAAATAAATTTAAAAAAAAAAAAAGGTGTCTTCAGGATTTTATCTCCAAAGGCAAGAGAAACAAAAGCAATCAGAAACAAATGGGATTACACCAAACTAAAACGCTGCTGAACAGCATAAGAAACTATCAAATAAACAAAAAGACACCTTAGTGAATAGGAAAAAGCATCAATACATATGACAAGGGGCTAATATTCAAATATATAAAGAGCACATGCAACGCAACAAAAAGGAAACAAACCCAATCAAAAATTGGACAGAAGAGTCAAGTAGACACCTCTCCAAAGAAGACACACATATGGCCAACAGGGACATGAAAAAATGCTCATCATCATTTATCATCAGGGACATGCAAATCAAAACCTCAATGAGATACCACCTCACACCTGTGAGAACGGCCCATTTCAAAAAGACCAGAAACAATAAAAGTTAGTGAGGGTGTGAAGGAAAAGGAGCCCTCACACACTGTGGGTGGGAATGTAGACTGGTCCAGCCCCTATGGAAAACAGTATGGAGGTTCTCAAATTATTAAAAATATATCTGGGGCCTCCCCTGGTGGCACAGGCAGTTGAAGGCCTCACTGTGAAGCTGTCTGTCCGCAGCCTCTGCAGTGCAGGTTCAATCCTGGCCAGCCAGCGAGGGTCCCACATGTCGTGGCAGACCTCTCCTGTGGTGCCCGCTGCTCCCTCCCCTCAGCAGTGTATTTCATCAGTCTGCCTGTTCTGTTCCCTGCTCTGTCTCTGGTGAATCCTCTCACCCTCCCGTGCATCTGGCCTGTACCCCGGTTCTTGTATAAATAAATAAATCTTAAATAAATAAATAAATATATATATATATATCTGCCATTATGACACAGCAATTTCACTCCTACGTATCTACCTGAAGATTAGTGCAAAACCACTAATTCAAAGGCATATACTGAATCCTATGTTCATTGCAGCCCTATTTACAATGTCAAAGCTATGGAAACAACAATCTAAGTGCCCAAGGACAGAAAAGTGGATCAGAAAAACAAGGTATGTACACACACACACACACACACACACACACACACACACACACACACACACACGATGGAATATTACTCAGCTATAAAAAAGATGACCTATTGCTATTTCCAACAGCATAGATGAAACCAGAGAGAATGATGTCAAAATAAATCAGGAGTAAAATAACCACCACATGATTTCATGTATTTGTGGAATACATAGAGAGAAAAAACAAAGGGTCAGACAAAACCAAACCAGTAACAAATCCTTGACACCTGACTGCAAAACTGAGGAAAACCAGAAGGGGAGGTTTATAGAGGTGGGAGTGGAGGGGGGGGGGTCCAGTGGAGGAGGATTATTGGGGATGTGGTGCTAGGCAGCGTGTGAAAACATCTATTAGTAGAAATGTGAATCTATAGGCCTAAAACAAATATAATGATGTAAACAAACTTTGCCTCAATAAACATAATTGGAGGGAAGTTAAAGAATTTTATAGACTACATAAAGTATTTTTAGTCCATAATTTGTAATTCTAAGAAAGTCTTATTACTTCAGAGCTAGTAATAATTTTAAACGTAATTCCATAAGGTTTATTTATTATCAATTTCTGTTTTCCCTTAAAATACAAATTGTATTTCAACTACATTTTACCAATAAGGAAACAAAATTTATTAGCTATCATAACTAAATAGCTTACAAAATGATTAGAAAAATCTAATAGGTCATTTTTTAATTATAAGACGGTCTCTTTGCTATGTTAGGTAAACTAATTTCCTTATTAGCATTATCTGAGCTGAAAAGTTTTCTATTATACACAGCAATATGTCTTCATGTTAAATAACTTGTACTGATTATGGGACTAATGCCCAGTATGCTTAGGAAAAAATCCTTCCCTACATAGCTTTCAATACTACACAATTATTTTTAAAAAGGAGGAAGATTACATTGATTAATACTGTACAGCTTTTAGATTATATTTAATAACTTGCTGCTTATATTCCTTATAAGAACTACCAAACAGGGGCCTCCCCTGGTGGTGCAGGTGGTTGAACGCAGCACTGTGAAGCTGTCTGCAGCCTCTGCAACGCAGGTTCGATTCCGGCCGGCCAGGGAGATACCCACATGGCGCAGCAGACCTCTCCTGTCTTGCCCGCTGCTCCCTCAGCAGTGTATTTCAGTCAAAACGCCTGTTCTGTTCTCCACTGTCTCTGGTGAATCCTCTCACCCCCCACACCTCTGGCCTATACCCTAGTTCGTGTATGCAAGAACAAAAAAAAAATCTTAAGAAAAAAATGAACTACCAAACAGAATTTACATGAAATTATTTTCTTCTAGGGAGTTAATTTTGACAATTAAAAGGGAAGTTTTTTATGATTTCTAAGTTATTTGTAGAATAGACTATCTGGGGAATACGGAGCCCCAGATGCCACACTTAGGTAATGTCAGTAACTGTTAGAATGTTACTCCATTGAGTTTGCGCACCTCACAACACTTTATTCACAAAAAATAAACAAGTTTTCCCACTTAAGAATTGGAACAATGTCAATGTTGTCTATTATACTATTAAGAAATGAGTTATAAACTGTTTTTATATTTTGTGGCCAAATAAAACTTCTAATAAGCAATAAGCAATTTTTATTAATAACTATTATAATATAAATTAATCTGAAAAAGGAGTGGGGACCAAATGTCACACTTGAAACAATCACTTACTGCAGGTACAAGTAATTTCTTCACTTCCTCAACGGCTCTCTTCAGCTTGATCTCTGCTCTGTTTTGAGCGTCTTCCACAGTGATCAGCACATGCAAGTCTTCATTGAGATGCTCCCAATTGGGCTTCCCTCTGTTTTGTTCCTCCTATAAAAATTGACGAAACACACTATTACAAATTTTTCCTTTCAAAGAGAGAACACGTTTTTCATAATATGTACCTACTGCCAATTTTTAACTGTGTTTACATTATTTTGTTATGATGAGATTAAAAATCTTTTGACTTATATTCCTGACAAAGGGTCTAGGTATGAAACTACTGGATCAAAAGACAGTTATTCAACGGGCATCTGCAGAGCATCTACTATGCACCAGCCAGAGCTGCAAGGATGTAAGAATGACTGCAAGGCAGTCACAATCATGACGCAGCTTTTATGAACTAAGAAAAACATGGTGTCACCCTTAGGCTATCACAAAAAGCACATTATTATTTCTGTATTTTACTTATAAGCAAATAGAAGGTCATTATGGTTAATTTAAGGAAGCCACCTGTGAAGGTCACATAACAACTTGCAAATTTAGGAGCCAAATCAAAGTTTCCATTCTCAAATTCACTGATCTATTTATTTCATTCAACTAATATTAACAATGGCTGAATTCAAGATTAAGAAAAGTATCTGGCAGAAAGACATTAATGTATAAGAGAAATGTCATTTGTCTTTAAAAAGTGTTTCAGGTAACAATTATGGAACTATTTCGTTAAAATAACAAGGAATAAACATCATATTTCTTTTAGACCTGATTTTCAAAACAGTGTAAGATCACTCAAATTGTATTAACTGATAAAAGTTAGTTTAACAGAGAATTTCTATGTTCCATTTCCTTGGCATCTTTGAGGGAAATCCCCAGGCTGAGTCGCCAGATAGCCTCTATAACTGAAAATATAACGTCAAAGCTGTTTCTTTAGTTTTAGAGATAACATGAGTAAATTTATTAACAATTTGTAATAATAAATTATAAGTATTTTTAAATATTGAAAGATAAGAATACACATTTGTAACTGTACGACAGGTACACAGAAACACACCTGGCTCAGGTGAGGCACCACATCCAATGATAAAATATCTGCTGCTGCTGACCTTTCATCTTAAAAGGTCGCTAGTTACTGACTTATGAGATTCCAATTAAAAAAAAAAACTGATATAAACTAATACAATTATTATTAACAAATGCTATCTACAACTTACAAGTTTGCAGAAGTCATACTAGGAAACATTCATGGCACTGACCCAATAAGGATAGAACAAGTCTGAACAGTCAAGTACATGTCTGTGCCTTTCCTGCTGATGGTGTTGAGTATGAAAACACATCCAAGCGTTGTGAGGGACATCGGAACCCAGACAAAGCACACCCTCTTACGAGTGACTATCTACCTGTTCCCAAAAAGTGGGCCCCAGGGTCACCACAGTGAGCTCACAGAGGAACTATGGGGCATCTGAAGTTTCAAGGGATGGAAATAGTCAATGTTTCTCAGACACCATGAAAATGTCTAGCTCACAATATCTGACTTTTTCAACATTAGACATTTTTGATGATGTCATATCTCTGCAATGCGAGGTTTTAGCAGCTACTATTAAAAAAAGCAAGTCTATGTTGAACTCCAGTGCAAAGCCAATGAAGAACCAAAAAAGGGTGCTCATCTCCAATCTGCTCCCAAGTCTGAGAACCTGAATGGTGCCTGACAGCCCGTGAATAAAGGACAACTTCAAAAATTTCAGTTTAAGTTGCTTTGATATAAATACTAATAAAGCTGTTTCCATTTAATTTTAAAAAATGATGTCCTTTTTTTTGGGCAACCTCACTTTTTATTTTATTTATTTTATTTTATATATTTTTTACATCATTTTTCATTTTTGCACAGTGTATGCATTTTCATCTTGGTTATACTCCCCATACAATTCCCCTCCCCTTATTTTGCCCCTACTCCCTCCCCCCCCACCCCCGCCCCGTAGTGTGTCTCTGGTTTATAGCTGCTTGTTGATTTTGATTTTTACTTTATTATAATTAGTCTTTTTCCGTTCCCTTATTTAGGTTTTCTAAATTCCTGCCATGAGTGAGACCATCTGGTATTTAAAAAACGATGTTTTTCTTTCTACCACGAAAAACTACCTAGGTGTCAATGAGTCAGAAATGGAAAAACTTGGGTTATCTGTTTGCCAAAAGACAGAAATCACATATATACCTGTACTGTGGCCAGGGAAATCAATTTCAAAATCCAGATTTTAATTTTTATGTCAAAATGATATTTTCTCACCAAAATTTGCAACTTCATCCATGTTTTTATAAATAGATATGAAGTTGCGTGCATTATTTGACGAAACTGAAAGTGTATCTCTATCCATACAAATAAGGTCTGGTCAAGACAAAGTCGCACACACAAGATTCACTCCTGCGCATAAGAGAACCGGAACACAGGCGCAGCGTAAGACATGCTCAACCCTGAACTAGGCGACTCAAACAATGAGGCTGAGAGGTGGGACACCCAGGGGTGAGCCCCAGGGTCGCGCCAGTCTCCTAACTGCAGGAAGTGTGACAGGGTGACCACCTGACGTGAGGACACTAAGCTGAGCACAGAGACCAAAGGAGCTGGGAGGGAGTGGGGGGTAAATCAGTTCCGGAAAGAGGAGCACAGAGCTCAGGGGATCCGCACAAAATCCATGCAGACATTCAGGGGAAGAGCGATCAGTTCATGTTTTGGAGGGAATACCTGAGGTGGAGCAGTAACCACCCAAAGGACCTCAGGTTAAAGCACAAGCTCCACAGAGCCAGACGAGAGACTTCACAGACCTGCGGAACCCCCAGTTCTCCGTTAGAAGGGGGGAATATGAAATCTACTCTGAACACTGCTTCCAGTACTGCCTAACTAAAACTGCTAAGTCATGACATGAAAGGATTAACTGTTTCCAACTAATTTGACTGCATCTCGGAACAAGATCAAGACTTACAGGGAAACAGAACAGCCAATGAACAAGGCAACATCTACACTATCTGGCATCTGACTAGAAAAAGTGTGCCAAGAAGAAAACAACGTATGTAAGAAATCAGTCCACTGAAACTAACCTACAACAGATATGGGGGGGGGGGTGTGTGTCACTAATGCTTACAGAGACTAATACAAGGCTAGCCAAGGAACATTTATAATCAAAAATATTTTTAAAAAGACCTAAGGAAAAAAACTAAATTCCTAAGTGATTTGCTCCAAAAAAGGGTGTATGTGGGGAGACAAAAGCCAGAAGACTGAAAAGGGCGCTAGACAAAGGAACACGCTGCAGAATAACCCACGTTACACTTTACTGAAGGAAGACATTTTTGAGTTGGACAACACCTTGGGAAAAATACATTTTTAGTTCAACAACTAAAGTGTCAGCTACAAAATAAAGTCACACCAATCTTAAAGTTTACTTCAAAACAGGTTTGTTTACAGATTTAAAACCAGTAAAAAAAAAAAAAAGAGATGAAAGAAGACTATGAATTTAATGTAATCCTGCATTTGCAGTCCTTCCTAAAACTCTTCTAAAATACTGTAGAGTTTAAAATGTACAAACGCTTGAGGAAGACAAAGACAGGAAAGGAAACAAGTTAGAAAGCAGATGGCTAAGGAGCCAGGAACTTAGCCAATCCCTGGCGAGATGAAACCAGACCAGGCTGCAGATTCCCCAGAAAGGCCTAGGAGACAACCAGCAGCTGTGGCAGCGGGGCACGGGTGGGGCTGCAACAGAAGCCAGCTTGTAGTGTCACCAGGAAACAGCTGATCCCTCACCTTCAGAACCCGGCCCCAAACAGCCAGCCACCTACCACTCCCTAATTCACAGGAGAAGGGCAGACACAGATTCCCAGAGCACTCCACTTTCTGGACCTGGGCTTGGGGTGCAGCTGATGGAATTATTCAGGCACCGAAGGCTGAGATGTGCGGCTTCCTCCCCCACCCTCCACCCAGTATGCAGCTGTCAGTTCACACCCTGTGGCCAGAGTCTGAAGAGCTCTCTCTGGAGTATCAGACCAGTCCAGCAAACAGAAAGCAATCCTGAGGAGGGAGAAGAAAACTCAAAACTTCTCAGAAAACTGTGAGAAGCTTCTGCGAAGAGAAGAATGCTACTAAAGAATGCAGAACATAAAAAGGATCTCCACAAGCTAAAACTGTGATGACAGAAATGAAAGATTGACAGAGAGGGTGATAGCTAAACACAGAGAAATGCTCCCTCCAAGGAGCAGTGAGGGCAGAGAAGGAAAGTGGCAGAGATGGTGTAAACAAGAGAGGGCTAACCCAACAGGGTCGGGAACTGTAGCACAGAAGTACAGAAGTCTCCCCTCCTATTACCCACCCCACCCCAAAAAAAGAACAAGGAAGCAAGAGAAAAGTCGCCATCATACATACTTTTTAAATGAAACTGTGCAAGACCCTCCGTAAGAAGAGAGCTCACCTTTTCTCACCACAATGAAAGCATGAGATGAAAACAAATTCTAAAAAAAATCAACTAGCAGCAAAGCGAGCACAGGACACAGCAGGAGAGAGCAAGTGCCCAGGACTCCTGGAGGGCAGGGTGCCGAGCACTGCAACCATGTACTTTCAGAATCGTGTTTTTAATCTATGAGTGTATCAAACTTAACTTTAAAAGAGGTTTTAGGATCATTCTATCCAGAAGCCACATTTATCCAACTGTACTAAAGTGAGTAAATCCCTTCAAGAGTGGGTTTTCAGCCCTGGAATTATTCAATATCACTATTGCTCACTGTGCTTTACCTGCTCATTAACTGGTAAATACTACAGAGCAACAAATACAGAGAAGTCAATAAATTATATCCATGCAGGTTCTCCTTCTATCCCAAAATACCTACATTAGGAATCTACTCCCCAAATTTTCATTTAAACAACCTGGAACAAAAGTTGAAATGAAGCAGGGACGGGATGACACATGGATAGCCACAGAATCAGTGTCTCCATGAGAAACTGTGTCAAGGATGCATTAATTTCTTCTTATGTGCCACCAAATCTTTGTCAATAAAGAACATGGGGTTCTTTTTTTGCAATGACATATCACCAAATTTAAATTTGCAGCACAGTCTTCCCTGCCAATTTCTAGATCTTC